CCCATGACTCTGCCCAACCCTAAATTTTTTTCTTGCCACCGTGGGCTTTTTGTACTGAACTGCTGTTGCCAATTTCCCCAAAAAAACACCTTCTTGAAGAAGGTTTGGGTGGTGTGGGTACCCCCAGAGAGATGTCCCAAAGAACTTGGTAAAAGTGCTCGTTGAGGGCACAAGGGGACATCTTGAAACAAAAATATTTTTTCAGCTCTTATTTGATGCTGGTAGGCTGCTTGTGGGGCACTGGGGCCTCACGCACCCCACAGGCTCCCTATGGCCCACTCCTACTCTGTAATAAAGAGGTATGTAGGACTCTCTGTTTTGGTCTAGAGAATCTCTGATTTTTATTGACAAACTTGCAGCCAAGGAAGATTAGAAGATTAGTCTCCTTAGCCTGCTTCTCATGACACACTGGAAAAGCATTTCAGCATTTCAAATTGCCTAACAGTTGGCATCTGGATTTCACTCAGATTCAGACATTTTCTTTGCTTCTTCTTTTTTGGCAGGCATTAGTGATGAGGAGGATCAGAAGCCTGTCCGTCTTCCACTGAAGGTTCCAGTTGAGCTGCAGCCACGGAATAACCACGCATGGGCCCGTGTGCAGAGCCTGGCCCAGAATCCATGTCTCAGGTATTCCAAAGCAAGACTCTTGGTATATTTGGGTAGGTGGCTACACAATCTCTAGTTAACACTTAGTAAATTCAAAGATTGGTCCAATGCAAAATTAATACATGTATTAATTAAAGGTTGTGACCTGACATCTCCAGAGCCTACATTTAAGAGCTGTGTGTCAGGGTGTCTTGCATCACCAGCAATTAGCAGATTTAGTCAAGGTTTTTAGGACCAATTGTAGCATCCAGTATAAATGGAACAAAGTTTTCTCCTCAATAAACCACAGCTTTATATCCATAAATATAGTGGACTGTAGAAACCAAAACCATTCTTCACAGGTTGGACAAAACAGAACAGTCCCCTTCTTCCTTCCAACCTGGTATACATACTGGCCAGCATTAAATTATTATAAGTAACATCTAAGAATTCCTTTTACTGTATTGATTCACTGAATATAGTGAAGATTGGTGGAGATGCTGAAATGCTCAAAGCTGCTGGTACTTAGATATGAGTAAAAACGGTAACTGCAGACCCTGCCATTCAGCAGAATTTGGCAAATTATATCAAGCCATCAGCTTATCAAATGAGAGAACCACATTGTCTTGACCAGTCATTTGATCCAGAACGAAGATTCCCTATATCTACCCTATCTTTTGCAAAATATCTTTTCCCCAATTTTCAAATTTGGATTCTCCGGTAAGATTAATTTCGCATTAGTGAATGTATGAACTAATTTAGCATTAGAGACCTCTCACTGCTAAAACTGCAGGGGGATTAAAACTAGCTCCAGTGTATTTAGATTCTGATATTGTCTTCTTAGAGGTGATAAAGCAGGAGATTTGAGCTCTCCCCAAGACAGAATGTTTAGTGGTGTGAAAACACTGCATCAGTTCACGGATGTCAACAAGAAAGCCTAATGGTCTAATCTAACATTAATCCCCAAGACAGAATGTTTAGTGGTGTGAAAACACTGCATCAGTTCACAGATGTCAACAAGAAAGCCTAATGGTCTAACATTAGGAAAAATGTTGTGTTCTCTTTAAGGAAATGCATGGTAATGAGGAATCCCGTATAAATGTCTGAAACACAGTGTTAATGCTATTTAAATATTTGCAAGGTATATAGAAAGGAATTATTGCAAGAACATGCATTTCCCAAGGTATAATGCCCCAAGATTTTATCAGGGCAGCCAGTGATCTGCACAGGCCACGGCCAATAAAATTCCTCATCATTTTTCATTTCCTGCCAGAATATGAGTAAAAATTACTTCCATATTCTGAATGTTTGTGATAGTGCTTGCATATGATAGGTTTTTCATTAGTGCAAATGGTATACACACACACTGTTTCCAGTGAATTGGAAGTTAGGGAGTATAAGAGGTACATGATTGTGTATGTGTGTGAGAGAGAGGTGGGGTGAGGTGTCTGTTTTGGTTAGCATATACTGTTGTCTTTTCATCACATTCCCAGTGGGCATCATTTGCTAACTCCTGCAACCTGTTCTTCCTTGTATGGCTTGCCAGAATGATTGTAGAGCTACATCGCAAGGTGTCCAGCCTCATCGAGTTCCTGAAACAGAAATGGGCTCTGCACGAAGTGCGCATCGTATCCTTTTTTATTGTTGAGATGTTCCAACTCCTTTTTATGTGATTTTGTGTTGTGAGGCTGTCTGTTTATAGAATTGCTCCGTATTAAATATTCCAGAGCCGAGTCCAATCAAATTAAAAACCAATACAGGAGAATGTTACAATGAAAGCAAATGAATAAATATTCATGATTCATGGATTAAATCATGTCTGACATTATCTTTGGAGATGTATATCACATAAGAGGTACCATGGTCATTCTTGAAGCAGCTGGTGTTTGTCTGTGTCTGCCCCACTGTTACTTTTAGAGCCAGTGGTATGTTTTTGCATCAGGAGTGAGCCAAGCCTGGCCCCAAAGCCACTGGGAAATTGGTTTTTTGAAACTTGCCCATGTTGCTCTAAATCGCCGCATGTTCATTCATTTTAAAGGATCTCCATCCATTGGTTTGGAAGGTGATTAGAAAGAGGCATCCTCTCCGACTTTCTTTTTGATGTGTTCCTTAATAGGCTGTGTTTAGCGCAAAACACTTGCAGAAAGGCAGGTACAAGACTTGAGGAATTCCGAAATGAGTGACATCTACCCAGAGGAGAAAGCAATGCTCCATCTCTTCCCTGGCGAGAACTGCACAATTACACCCCTCCCTGGGGTTGCCCGAGTTGTACACTCCAAAGCTTTCTGTACAGTGCATTGGCAAGAATCTGGCCGTTGCAAGCAGAATACAAAGGACTCTCATTTGCTGCCCCCTGCCCAAATTTTAGGCATACAAAGTGGTCAGGGAACAGCCAGAGGACAGGTGAAATACCCCCGGGGAGGGACGGAAGTCAAGGGTGGAACCAGGACAGAGGCTGCAAGCGAAGGAAGTCGAAACAACCCGTCAACCTTGGATGCCACAGCAAATGCTGAAGACTGTTCCCCAGAGACTGAGCTTCTAGAGCTAGCCTCCCCAAACTCCAGTGTGGCGAACAGTCTTGATAAATTGTCCTTTGGGCTTCAGGACCCCCATAGGGTGCTCGAAAGGCCGGTTGCCCCAGACTGTTTGACTGAGGGTAGGGAGGTGGTTGAGTTGGCAGCTAGGCCAGCCTCTGGCAGTGCAAGTTGTGACTGTGGTCGTATCCCCCCTGATTTGGAGGAGCTCTCTCTGCTTGACCCCTTTCCCCGGTACATGAAGTCCTGCCAGGACCTTATTGTCCCCGAGAAGTGTCTTTGCACACACAGAATGAACAGGAAAGATTTTGCCTTTTCAGCGAGATCCCCTCCTGGGACTTTGTTGTCTGTCCCCCCAGAGACTGGCAGCCAAAATCCTGCACAGCCAACAAGGTGTGTGGCGGCAGTGGCCAGCTGCGTCCCATCTGGCTCTGAAACTCAGGCCCTCCACGCCTGTGGGCCACAAGCAGAGCCGGGTGCTAAGGAGATTCCCAATGCAGTGATGGAGGACTCTCAGGAGAAGCTCAACACCCCCTTACTGCCACCACCTCTGCCACCTCAGGGACAATTGGTCACAAAATCCCTCAAGGATGACCCAAGCCGCCTTGCACAACAGGTCAGAGAGGAGGGATGGAGCCTGCGGACCTCCGAGAGCCTTACCTTGGCCGAAGTCTACCTCATGATGGGCAAGCCGAACAAGTTGCAGCTCGAGTACGATTGGCTGTCTGTCTTGGGGCCAGAAACCCAGGAGTCAGGGGAACAGGTGCCTGAATCAAGATCTGTCCCTCCTCCAGCCACCTGCCACAAGCAGAAGCTCCTCAACTGCCTCTTGAAACTCATCTCTACAGAAGTGAACCCCAAACCAGTAAGTATAATCTGGACATTTGCTTAGAGCCAGGTCAGAGCGAGCCCAAGACATTTTGTGGACATTTGAACACTAGCTTTGGGATAACGCTCTCCCAAAGCATTTTCAAAAGAGAAGATTCCGTTGCCCATACTTTTCCCGAAGAGAACAGAGGACCAACCAGTAGGAAGGTTCTTAGCAGATGTGCCTTTAAGGATGGTGCGGTTGTGAGAACACTCTTCTCTGAAGATCTTTAAACCAGATAGGCTCATGGGGTCCTTAAGATACTCCAGACCTAAGATTGTATAGGGCTTTACGGGTCATAACCAAGACTTTGAATTTAGCCAGTAACCACTGGCCTAATTCAAAGCATTGAATTAGACCGTTAACCACTGGAGTTGTTGTAACAAAAGATTTACATTCTCTCTGCAACAGACCCCAGTCAGCAGCATTTTTGCCTGCTTTCTGAACACCCTTCAAAGGTGATCCTAACAGTAATCCAGTAAGAATGTACTAAGGCATGTATCATTATGGCCAAATCCGATGTTGCCCGGAGTGGGCAAAGCAGGCATATTAGCTTTCACTGTGTAAATGTATTCCTGGCTGACACGGAACCCGGAGCGTCCAACTTCAAAGTTGAGTCCCGGAATATACCCAAGCTGTGAACATGAGCTTTCAGGGAGAGGATAAACTTATTTAGCACAGGCTGATTCCTTTTCCCTTCAGCTGACCAGAAGTACCTTTCTGCCTTGGTTAAGCTTTGGTTTATTCAAACTCATCCACTTCATTATTGGCAGAAGACATTGGTTTAGAATCTAAACAGCTGTCTTAGAATTAAATGGAAGAGAGAAATTGAGTTGGGTGTTACCACCATATTGGGGGTGTGGACCCATCAAATGCCAGACAACCTCTCCCAGTGTGCTTCATGCATATTTCATTTATATGCTATATTGTATGGAGGACAGAACTGAACCCTGAGAAAAATGATGGGCTAAACCCAAGTGTATTGAACAGGAATTCCCCAGCCTCAACTTGGGAGCATCCCCGTCTAGGAAGGACCAGAGCCACTGTCAAACAGTGCCTTCCAGGCCCATCCCAGAGAGGTGATCCAGAGGGATATCTGTTGAAAGCGGACAAGAGGTCTAGCAGGACTAGCTATGATGCACTTCTGCCATCTAGTTCCTGACACAGATTATTTACCAAGGTAATCGAAGATGTCTCAGTCACAAAATCAGGCCTTACAGCCAAATTGAATTATAGATCTAGGTAATGCTTCTTACGTAGGAACATCGGGAACCAAGAAGCCATTACATGCTCAACTCCATAGGAGTGGACAGTCAAGAGCTAACACATCTACCAGCCTGGCCATTTTCTTATTGCAGTTTGGTGCTTTCAATAGAATCATCTGCTACAATAATAGGAAACTATAAAAGGACTGTCAACAATCCCTCTAATCAACCCCCATAGAGACATCAAGTTCCAATTATGGTGGTGCCCCGCATGACGATGATAATCCGTTCCGTGAAAATCGCTGTTTAGTGAAATCATCATGCGAAAACCATTTCCCCATTGGAGTGCATTGAAACCCGTTTAATGTGTTCCAGTGGGGAAAAATTGTCATCGTTTTCCGAAGATTGCCCATAGGAAAGCTGTTTTGCGAACCGCCAATCAGCCATTTTAAATTGTTATATTGCGAAAAACGGGCCTGAAAACACCCATTTTGCGAAGATCGCCCATAGGGAAGCCATTTAGGGAAACTGCCAATCAGCTGTTTTAAATCGTCGTATTGCAAAAAAACAGTCCACGAAGCACGGACCAAATGTCGTCCAGCGAAATTCCCCCACAGGAATAACTGTTTTGCGGATTTGTCGTTTTGAGGGGTAATCATCTTGCGAGGTACCACTGTAGTCCAAAGCTTACCATATTTCACCATACCCTGATCACTCACTCATTCTTATGGCCTAATAGTAGTGCTTCATAGACGAATACCGTAGTAGGGTTGGTCTTTCTTTCAACCACAAGAGCTGTGTCTCTGGGAGGGTGTGGAAGAAATTTAAATTTTTTTAATATGCCCTCTCCGGTTGGGATCTGCAGAATAATTTCTCTCACTCATATATAAATATGTATGTTTGTCTTTCATCTCAGAATTATATTAAATATAAATTACAGGAATGGAAATCTTAGAAAAACACAGAGGAGAAATATTAATAATTAATGTACTGCAAATATATTGAAGGAGAAAATGTTGCTGGTGCCTGTAAATGAACATGATAAGCCAGAGCGGGCAATGTCCAGAGGTTTGAGGAACCACAAGTGAGGTTACTCATTGGCTTTCGTGCTTCAACGGCGAGTAGAACCTAGATCTCTGAAGTTCTAGTCCAGACTCTTAACCACTACCCTCCCCTGGTTGCTATATATTGCTGCATCTGTAATATGTGGGAATTTTTTTAGGTATACAAGGAGAGAGGAAAGTGATGGTGCATGGTTTGCATAGATACCTTTTCCCCTCATGGTTTTTTTTTTCTTAAGCAAAAACTGAGATTTAACCATTTACTCCACAGACCCCTGAAATGAACTCTGTTGCAACATCCCCCATCAAGCCCACTCAAGAGGAGCATGCTCTGACACCTCCTGGGAAAGTGATCGCCATCAGCACTAGGAGCCCAGGCTGTGCACGCAACCAACCTGCCCTTCACAAGAAGTCCTTTTCCCCCAATGCCACTTCCACCTCCTCAGGTGAGGCCGTCATTGAAATAAGTGGCAATTCTGCAAGCACATTGAAAACAGTGCAGTAATAACTAGAAGCCAACATGGATCTGACAAGAACAAATCCTGCCACACTAATCTTATCTCCCTCTTTGATTGGGTAACCCCCTTTAGACGGAGGGAATGCCGTAGTGTAGACGTGTCCTAGAGTTGGACACAACTGGACTAAATGTCAAGGGGTACCTTGACCTTACAGTGTTTACAGTAACTCATCCAGAGAGCACTGATGCGCATGCAGCCTGAATAGCACCCCACTTCAAGTTAGTGGGTTAAATCAGATTTTTTCTATTGCTGTGACTTGAGCCATTTTTACTAAATGCCACAGCATGTTCGTTTTACAGATGTTTTCAGCAGAGGGACGTAAAAGGGTGACATTTTCATTCAGTAGCAGGCACAAAGCTGAAATGTCATTGCTGCCTCTGATGCCATCTTATTGCAAAGCATAGCAAAACAGAGGTGACATCTGGCACTCCTTTCAGGGAATGTCTTATAGTTGGACCACAAATGAACTATTTAAAGGGCTGAGAGACATGTTAGCTAGGTACAGATGGCTCTCAAAATCTCACTGGGTTGCATGGCAGGCATGTAATTGGAAGGCTGTATTTCTTGCCATTAGCTGCCAGCACATTCTGTAAATGAGAATCGCTTGTTTGTAATCCAGGACTTATCTCCAACGAATTACTTCAAAATTTACAAAACAAAACATACTACCTTCCTTATGGAAGCAGCCCTTTGGCTCCAGTAGTTTCCAAAGCTCTGGCTATACTTCCCACAAGATTAATGCTCATCTTTTGTTTTGTTTTTCTAATTGTACCCTACCAGGTTTGAGAAATTCCTCTAGACCGCTCTTGGTGTCTGGCCCTTCAGGTTCTGGAAGTGTCGATGCAGATGGTGGCCTGTTTGCTGTTCCCACGACTCTCCCGCCTAACAGCAGACACGGAAAGCTTTTCTTGCAAAGTAAAGAAACGGAGCTCTCGTTCCGGCAGCGCTTGGACACGATCAGTGTAAGTTTAGCCTGGTGAAGGTCACGTCCTTTACGTCGTAGGCATGAACAAGATGCTAATAAAACATCCAACCATCTTCCCCAAAGCCACATTAGACTAGTAGGGATGTTGGAAAGCCTTTGAGTCTGAGCCCCAAATCCGAGCCTTTGGTCTTGAGTCCGAAGTTCCGAATCCCAAGCCCCAAGTCTTGGGTCCTTATTAAAAACAAGCTTTTTTCCAAGTTGTGCATTGAGTCCAAGTCATTGGGGGGGGGAAATGAGTGGAGTTCAAGTCGAGTCACTAATGCAGATTAAATCCAACTTGACATCGAGTTCCATGACTCGAATCCCCATATCCCTGTAGACTACTATCTTGAAGCGCTCCATCTTTCTATGCTGTTTTTGAGACATTGTTTTTCTTCCTTTTTGCAAATGTCTTTGCACTTTTCTTAATATACACATTTTCAGCACATCAAATATGAAAGTATTTTGATGCTTTTTTCTGACTGTATACATTTTTGCTGTTTTTATATATTTTTAATGTGTGCATGGTTTTATTTATATTTGTTCCTCCAGAACATAGCACAAGTCTTGCATATGAATAGATCACCAAGAGAAAATTGAACATTGTCTTGCAGTGGGTCATGGGTGGTTAGGAATGAATTCTTTGTATTTTTTTAATTGTTTTATTTATTTGCTGTCAGCCACCCAGAGTAGTCTATGACTAGATGGGCGGGGTATAATAAATAAATAAATAAATAATATAAATATTTGTGAAGAATCTTGGCTCTCGTGAAATTCTTTTTTATTCTTAAGTGAATGAAATGCTTTCCTTCCGCAAGGCAGGCAAAAACTTTTCTCTTTAGACAAGCTTTCTCTCAATGCCTGACTGCCTGAGTAGGATTTTTAAATGAATTGTTCTGCCCTACTACTATGAATGTGCTTTTGATGTTTCTTTTGATTACCTTTTATAGTGTGGTATTTGCTTGATCTTTTTTAGCATTTGTATACTCACTGTTTTTAGCTTTAAATAGTATCCTTTAGAGATGGGCACGAAACCGCTGGTTCGGCGTTTTGTGCTAGTTTTTGCTTTAGAGATGGGCACGAAACCGCTGGTTCAGCGTTTTGTGCTAGGTTTTTTTTTGTTTTGTTTTGTTTTTTTGGTTTTTTTGGCTGAGCAGGTGTTCAGTGATTCCCAGCCCCTCCTGGAGGGGGCAGCGCCTGGAGGAGGCGGAGCAGGCAAGCTGGAGCACTGACTGAGTGGGCGCCTGCTGGAGGAGGCGAGGCTGGGAATCGCTGAAAATGTGTATATTAAGAAAAGTGCAAAGACATTTGCAAAAAGGAAGAAAATGTCTCAAAAACAGCGTAGAAAGATGGAGCACTTCAAGACACTAGTCTACAGAGATGGGGATTCTAGTCATGGGACTCTGTGTCAAGTTGGATTTAATTTGCAGCGACTTGAACTCCACTCATTTTTGGCCGCTAAACAAACTAGCAGTTTGTTCCAATCTGTAGTGTCATTTAATGATATAAGCCACCTTGGGTCCTTTTAAAGGAAAAAGGTGGAATGAATGAATAAATGAATAAATTAATTAATGCAAGATCTGAGTGACAGTTCCAGACCAATAGGAAACAGTATGCATTGATTAAGTGATGTTATCCACTCACTTGTATCCTGTTTCTTCACTGTTTACCATTAGTGGAGGATGGTACACTGCTGCCCTTCCATTCAGTACAAAGGCAGGGCCATGTAAGCTTGAAGAAGCTTCCTCTCTTCGGGTGGTAGAAGCCCCTATGAGAAAAAGTTATGTTCTTGTATCCTGTTTCTTCACTGTTTACCATTAGTGGAGGATGGTACACTGCTGCCCTTCCATTCAGTACAAAGGCAGGACTATGTAAGCTTGAAGCTTCCTCTCTGCTCTTGAGCAGCACAGTTTCTTAGAACTCCTCTTCTCTCTGTTCTGAGATGAATACATTGGATCCTCCCTGGCTTGGACACTGGAGGGGTGGAACTATAGGGTGGCAGCACTGGAAGAGAGAAGCACATGAATGAATGAAATATACCTCTGTCCAGACAGAGCTGCTGGAAATTTCTTCCTGGTGGCTGTGTTATGAACTATGTTTTTTTTTCCCTTTCCAGATGCAATCTGATTTCTTCTTGCCAAAGCCAAGGAAGCTACGTAGTAGACATCTACGGAAACCTCTAGTAGTACAGGTCAGAAGGACTGACTAATGGAAATATATCTCTTGCATGTTGAGTAGGCTCATCAACGGTTGCTTTACGACTCTTCCCCCTCTTCTCGTCAACGTAGACAGATCTAATTAATTTTCCACCCATGTAGACCTTTCTGCTTTCTACTATGCAGCCTTTGCTAGGAATACATAAGACTGGCTGTTCCCAAGGAGAGAGAGGTCAGAACTGTAAGATGACAAATTGGACCAGAGTGCTGTTCCTCACTGCATCTTTAAATTGAATGTAGCCTGCGAAAACAATTAATTTTTAGTAAGAGTGGTAGAAAAATAACAGAGTATGTCTGAGAGCACACACAGCAGCAAAGAAAAGCCATAAAAATACAGACTACTGAAATCGGGACACTCTAAGGATGAAGTAGACATGTCCCTCAAGCTTTTAAAGAAAAGCTATAAAGCATTAAATTCGAAACAAATAATTACTGACATATATAATGACCCAGGAAAGGAATGATAACAATGGAGTTGGAAGGGGCCGAGAAGGCTATTGAGTCCAATCCTCTGCTCAGTGCAGGGATCCAAATTAAAGCAGATCTGATGCAAGGTTGCCTGCTTTTCTCGTGAATGCCTCCAACGATCACCACCCTTTGCAGGTCATTGTTTCCATTTTCATACTGCTCTAACAGTTAAGACGTTTTTCCTGATATTCAGCCTAAATCTGGCTTCCTGGCGCTTGAGCCCATTCTGACATGTCCTGCACTCTGGAATGATGGAGAACAGACCCAAAAACTTGGCTCACCATGGAACAGGATGCTAAAGCATCAGGACAATCCCTTCACTCATCCATAAACCCCATTTTATAAAATCAAGAATATCAGTTTTTTTACTTCCTACTTTAGAATACTTGTACAAGAATCCGTCCCTTCCAATACATCCATGAATATCATTTTTGCACTACCCATTATTTTATTCCCCTGGCAAACTTAACCAATATGAGGAACTACCAGAACTCTTAGCATTCATCCATGGAAATAAGAAATAAGTTTTAAAATGTCTGGGGAAAATGTAGATGAAAACATTGACCAAAAAACATGCTCCATGGTCCACGGTAACAGCTTAAATCCTCTTCAGACGAAATAAGCAAGCTTGACATAAAAACAGATCACCACTAGTATGCAATATGCAACACTGAGCGCAATTTAACCAAAATGCTGGAGGTGAAGTGAGGACATGGGATCATATTAACACATTAGACTTACACAGTTGTTAATACATTTTAAAAGGTTTTCAGTAAAATCTTAAATCAGCCTATTGGTTAGAGTATTCATATACGAATACAAATATCCCCACGTAGCTGAACATAACAAGGATCCAGCCCCCGGGGCCAGACTGTCCACTTACACATCCTGTTGCAACGCTGATCCCGCTCATCTTTCCGATCGCGCCAGGAGCTCTACCCGCTCGGTTGGCCACTCCAGGCACGGGGAGGGAAGACGAGTCCCCCCACATGGTTGCCGAGTGGCCAGCCAAGCAGGAAGAGCTCAACGCTCAGGGCGCAATTGGAAGGCTGAGCGGGACCAGCACTGCAGCAGGATGCGTAAGTGGACGGTCCAGCCTCAGGGGCCAAACCCTTGTTAAATCCAGCTGCGCAGGGATATTTGTATACAAATATGAATACCCCCATCTCTACTATTGATTAATCAGCAATAAAACCAGCATTGCTGCTTTTATTTGATAGTGAAAATACACATTTATCTCTAAAGAAAGGTTGATATTTATGATGGCAGCAGACAGATAGGTCTCAACAAGAACTGGGCAGAGAACATATCTTTTCACATCACTTTGCTTGCACAAGAAATTAATGTAATAGCCCTATACTTACTTCACTCTTCAACATCTTTCTTGGAAGCAGGAATATACAGTATATTGAACATTTCCAACCTTAGACCTGTTGTTTCGTTTTCCATATCCATTGGCATACACATCTTAGGATTTTGACAGATTTGGTCTCTGTTGCCTGGAATAGTTCTCTTGGTATCCCATCTATCCTTAGAGAAAGAATTTTTCCAAGTGCTTTTAGACCCACTTTCACTTCATGTTCTAAAACAGCTGGTTCTTCAACACAGAACTCTTCTTCAAAGGAATCTGTCATCCTTGCATCCCTTCATAATATTACTTCCTATATTGTTCCCACCTTTTTTTATTCAGGTCAGAGAGTATGTTCTTTGATTGATCTTTCGGCAGTCTTAAGTTTAAATTTCCCTTTGATTTCTTGGATGCTTTTTAAGTCTCTTGTTTTTTCCTCTTTTGTTGTTCTTTTCTGTGGGTCTTCTTCATCTCGACTTCAGATTCACCAGAAATGTTATTTGAATTTAGACACTGATTCTTTTAACCTTCCTTTTGAGCTTTACTCTAGTTTTCAGTAATAACAGTTCATTGTCAGTACCACAGTCTGTTCCTGGTCATCTTAGGGCAGAGAGAACACTGTTGTACTTCCAATTTTATTTGATTTCTGTATTGCCCATCTGGCAATGTCTACGCAAACAGTTTTCTCTTGAGCTTCCTGAAGCACATGTTTGCAATGAATGGATTATTCACTTCAGACAGTTCTGTGAGTCAGCCTCTTGCTTTCTTTATTTCTGACTTTCAGGCCAAAATGTCCAAAAACATTTGGCTCTCCTTTGTTTCCTACTTCTGTGTTTTGGTCACCCGTGTTTATCAGCACAGCCTATTTCGATGTGTTATAATCCCCTAGTCTATTTTGGTTTGCTTACATCAATTCAAATGGTCAATTTCTTGCTTTATGGTGTCAGGTTCATACTTCTCACGTTACATGTTCCAGTTGTATTATCATGCAGCATCATACTAGCCTTTCACCTTCTTTCACCATGTCAGCCACTAGATGTCTTTTTGGCTTTAGTCTAGTTGCTTCATTAGCGACAGTGCTATTTGTACCTGTCCTTTGCTCTTCTCCAGTACCTGATTGAGTGCCTTCTGATTTGGGAGCCTCATCTTCCAGCAGCATCTCGTTTTCATTTTGGAATGTCTCTCGTCATACAGTTTTCTAGGTAAGAAATACTCACCAATGATTTACTATTTCTGCCTGACCTCAATCCTGGGGAAAATTCTGGAACAGATTATTAAGTAGTCACAATGCAGGCACTTAGACAAAGCAGTAATAACTAGAAGTGAGCCCAGATTTGTCAAGAACAAATCCTGCCAGACTAATCTGATCTGAGCTTTTGATGAGATTACCTCCCTGATAGACAGAGGGAATGCTGTAGACATAGTATATCTTGATTTCAGCAAAGCTTTTGGCAAAGTGCCCCACGATATCCTGCTTAGCAAGCTAAGTAGGTGTGGGCTGGATAGAACAAGTGTCAGGTGAGTGCACAGCTGGCTAGAGAATCATATTCAGACGGTGATGATTAATGGCTCCTTATCAAACTGGGAGGAGTTAACAATGCCCCAAGGCTCAGTCCTGGACCCATTGTTCTTCAACATTGTTCTTAATGGCCTGGAACAGGGATATAGGGAATGCTAATCAGGTTTGCAGATAACACAAAACTGGGTGGAATAGCTAATACCCTGAAAGACAAAATTCAAAATGATCTAGATAGACTTGAGCTCTGGGCTGAAAACAACAGAATGAAATCCCACAGTGATAAATGCAAAGTACTACACCTCAGAAAAAGAAACCAAATACACAGTTAAAAGATGGGGGATACCTGGCTCAGCAACACTACGAGTGAGAAGGATCTTGGAGCCATGATGCAGTTACAAAAAAGGCAAATGCCATTTTAGGCTGCATTAGTAGGTACTCGTTCCCCTTTATTCAGCACTGGCTAGGCCTCATGTTGAGTACTGTGTTCAGTTCTGGACACCACACTTCAAGAAGGATGCTGACAAAGAAATTCAGAGGAGGGCAACAAGAATGATTAAGGGGCTGGAAACCAAGCCCTATGAAGAAAGATTGAAATAACAGGGCATGTTTGTTTAGTCTTGAGAAAAGAAGACTGAAATAAGATATGAAGAAAGATTGAAATAACAGGGCATGTTTATTTAGTCTTGAGAAAAGACTGAAATAAGATACGGTAGCACTTTTCAAATACGTGAAAGGTAGTCGTACAGAGGAGGGGCAAGATCTGTTCTCGGTCTACTCAGATTGCAGGACATGCAGCAATGAGTTGAAATTACAGGAAGCCAGATTTCGGTTGAATGTCAGTAAAACGTCCTTACTGTTAGAGCAGTACAGCAGTGAAACCAATTATCTCGAGAAGTGGTGAGGGCTCCAACTCTGGATGCATTCAATAGAAATAGATTTCGGTTGAATATCAGTAAAACGTCCTTACCGTTAGAGCAGTGAAACCAATTATCTCGAGAGGTGGTGAGGGCTCCAATTCTGGATGCATTCAATAGAAATGTAAACAACCACCTGGCAGATATCCTTCAATTTGTATTCCTGCATTGACCAGGGGGTTGGACTCAATGGCCTTGTAGTCCCCTTCCAACTTGATGATTCTATGATTTCACCTCTGGTGATCCTACCAAATGACCAGACTCACGATGGAGTCTGGCCTCATGATAGCACTGGTCTCACCTTTCCTGACACACTGAAATCCCATAATCACATTAATGTGTGCATCTTCTATGATTAGTTATTTCAAGTCTCTGACAAGAGTGATCTTTATCTTCCTCAGCTACCCACCGGGCAGAGAGAGATAGAAGGGATGGCATCACCTACATTTAGCTCTGGCTCCACTAGATGCATGCTCCCCAATAGATTATTGCTGTCATATTTCTCTGCACAAGAAAAGATAACCCACCCTGCTCAAATAGGTGTGGTAAAGAAATCATGTCTGTAGCAACCCTAAAAGATCATAAATGTCCCATATGGATAATTTTCCCATACTTTTCTTTCCAACATTGTATTACCTTTTCTTCTTAGAGAACACTGCTTCCCAGGCCATCTGGAAATCCATCCCAGCATGTCTGTTCCTTCTCCATTCTGTCCAACTCTTCTGCAACAGGTGAGTCTCAGTTATGTGTGCATTCAAACCTGGATGAAAACAGAAAAGAAGAAAAGAAACAGTGGGTTGGCGTTCTTATAGAACCATAGCTAAGTAATAGAGCAGATGGTTTTGGTGCAGAAGATCTCTGATTCCATCCTCAACGTCTCTGTCGACCCCAACAGCAAGGAAAAAATATTGCCTGAAACCCTGGGCTTCAAAAGTTGTATTTTCAGAAGGTTTTTTTGTAATATTTAGTCTGAGCCTTCTTTTTCGTTCTGTAAATCCATCAGTAAAAGAAAGAACTGCACCCCTGTAGGTAAAAGATCTGTCTCCAGCAACTCCGTTTAATGATGAAAAATGTATCTAAATGAAAAGGCCTTGTCCTGTTTACTGAAAGTACCCAGAAATCATCTCTTAAAGCTTCACTGTTCATTCTCCTTTTATTTTATTGTTGTCCTTTTTAATAGCTTTCTTGTCGAGACTGCTTTTAATGTTGTGGCTCAGACAAAAGCATTGTTCTCCCGTGGCGGAGGTTATATAGGAGAAGGTTATTTTCCTGTTCTCACTCCCTGGAAGACTGTGCAGACGACTTCATACTTCCTTTATTGCAGCATATCTACACAAAAGCACAAGCCTTGTGGCACTTTAAGACCAACAGATTTATTTTGGATTACAAAAGAAATTCATGAAATGGTGTGGATTGTTTGAAGAAGTGCTCTCTATCGCTCGCTCTCTGTCCTTAGGGGGCGAGAACCAGAGTTATCAAAAAAAAAAACCTTATCTCTTTTTAACAATATCTGATGTTATGTTAATTCTCCATTCTTAGGAAGAGGTTCTTTTCGACCCATCCAGTCTTCACTTATGAAAGCGGCTGTCTCTCGCCCCATTGTTCCCAAGATTCTTCCTGCTCAAACCACCAACCATCTGTCCAGTAGGTTTCTGTTCAGAATGTAAAAGTCCAGAGAGACCAGGCGTAGTAGACTATTTTATGTGAATTGTGAAGAAGGAAATAACGGCTGTTCCACCATTTTTTCCATGTTTTCTCTTGCCAGCCTTACAGTGTTTTCTCCTGTTATCAATAGATCAACATTAAATTTGGTCTAAGCGGTTCTTAACAAGAAATGTGTATATTATCAGAGTCAGATGCATATAAAGAAAGACATGAAGTCAGGAAGAGGCAAACCTAGTGGCCTTAATATGTGTTTTAAACATCATCCTAATAAGCCTTAGCCAGCTTGGTTGGGGATTGTGGGAGCTGTAGTCCAAAGTAGCTGGAGGCACCCTGAGTAAAAACCAGTGATAACCAGTATCCTAAATATTGCTGAAGTAGACAGTTAAGAGTTGGGTTGGGGGTTGGGGAGACTGAATTGGTGAGCTTTCTTAGTTGAAGAATGGATTTGTTCGTTATACTATGCAGGGGGAGTGTGTTTTTCTTTAGGCAGTGATATGAGGGTCTATATAACGACTTTCTAAACTGGAGAAAGAAGAACTCGGTTACGCTTCTCTGTTCTCTCTTTAAAGGTGCGATTGATTTGGCAGCCAAAAGTGCCGGTATTATTCCTGGCAGTGCTTTGCCTGTTCTGGGTGGTGAAGGCTTGCCAGGTGTTTCCCCTCTATCGCCAGAGGCAGTCACCACGGTAGTCTCAGGACAGGACACAACAGTGGCGCATCAGAATGGATGTTCCATCACTACGGTGGCAGTAAGTTTCGCTCTCTATTAATGGTTTCAGTGTAACAGATCTACTCTGTAACTAGATCATGCATGCTTTTTCCTGGTCAACAACACCCTCCCTCTTTTGTCTTGTCTGAGAACCTCACTGGTGCTCCTCCGTTTGCTCAGTGCCATGTGATTACTTTCCCTTTTCCTTCAAAATTTCCACTCTCATTCATCTACATTTGTTTGTCATTCAGTTTCCCTGAACTTTTTGCTACACTTAAGCTCTCCGTCAGTCTTACATTTTAAAACTCTCATCCTGTTCCTTTGCATTTAATGTCCAGTTTTTGTTTCACTTCCATTTCAAAAGATTCACTGTTTTTCAAAATTTCCAGAGCTTGGAAACATGCTTTTTCATAAAATGTAAATGCAAAAACAGATGATAACATTATAGAAAATTGTCATACAATCACTTAAAAAATAATCGTATAAGAAAACAAGCTTTTGTGGATTAAAACACCACTTCCTCAGGTTTGTATCAGTGTGAAAGAACTTAAAGTCCAGAACTTAACATCTAAACGTACTGTTTCCCCGAATATAAGACCTAACCCTGAAAATAAGCCCTAGTATGATTTTTCAGGATGCTTTTAATAGAAGCCCTACTCTCAAAATAAGCCCCAGTTAAGTGAAACCCCACCCTCCACCCTTGTGCAGCAACCAGAAGAAGATGACATGACAGTATTTGAATAAATGTAGATTGTTATATATGAAAAAAAAATCCCCTGAAACATCCCCTAATGTGGTTTTGGAGCAAAAATTAATATAAGACCCTGTCTTATTTTCGGGGAAACACAGTACATGGCAAGATGGGTTTCATCAGGCTTGTTTCTTAGATGGAAGTCAGGAATTAGGTGGCTGTTTTACGGTTACAGCTTATGCACTGCGGAATGAGTAAGGCTTGTCTCTTAGATGGAAGTCAGGAGTTAGGTGGCTGTTTTATGGTTACAGTTTATGCACTGCAGAATGAGTGTAACAACCCAGTTCTCCAAACAAAGCAGCACAGGCCGCCTGTGTACCCACATCTTTCCAGTTAGCTTTTGTTTGAAACAGATAACATATACTTTTTAATGTAATAAGTTACCTATCACTTGTTAATTTTCAAAGTGGTGTATTTGTTGTTACTTGTTGCTTTAAGAGTAATGTTTTACTGATACTCTTTTTCTTGTTATTTTTTAAGATTGATACCATGTATTTTAGAAGCAAAATGTTGCTCATTATACTGAAGAATTAATATTGTTTCCACTTGTTACATTAGTTTGGGAAAATAACATTGTTGTGCCTTTGTTCATCCTCCTATGTAATAACATAAGTAACATTGTCAATTCTAATAGGTAATTCATGGTTCTACAGCAGTGGTTACCAACTTTGAGTCCCCAGATGTTCTTGGGCTACAACTCCCAGAAATCCTGACCAGCACAGCTGGTCAGATGTCCAGGAACATCTGGGGGTCCAAGATTGGGAACTACTGCTCTACAGAGTTCAAAATCGGATGCCGTCATTCTGAAACAGATTAATAGTCAGCGGCTTGAAGCAAAGCGAGTGTAGGCAGGCAACAAAAGATAATCACTTTCCGCCATCTGTCTATTTCTACATGCACATATATTTTTGCATCTATACATGCCTATTCACACACTTATCTGAGTGAGAATTGCAGTTCCTGAAGATCTTTGCTGTAGTATCAGTTTCCAGTACTATAAATAAAGCCCTTTGCGACTTCTGTGAATCACTCTTAGGGTGATCCGCTTGTGTGCAGACCCTCATCGGAACCTAATCTAAAGCTTTTGCAGTGAATGAAGAACGTGTTAGTGAAGGCCATGCCCCCCTCTTATATATACCTTGGTGACAAGGCTCTCCCCTCAGTTCTTTTCAACCACCCCGTTAAGAGCCTCATTTAGCCTCGTGTTTTCAGAGCTTTCATGAGTCTGTCTCTAAGAGAAAAGGAAATAGAGAAAACGATCATAAGAACCTTTTTTTCCCCTTTCTTTGCTTTTTAAAATGTTTTTAAAACCTTTTCAGTTTTCCATAAACCAGCTTTGTCCTTCAGGCCTCGCTCTTTCCCCCACCCAATCATGGCCTCTGAAGGTCTGTTTAAACGTTGCATCTCCTACAATAACAAGATTCTGCTCTCTGACGGCCACACTGAGTGCCTTTTCTGTCTCGGAGAGGCCCACAAAACTACAGTACTTCTTGTACTCATTGCAGCTGACTTGCACCTTACACTCAAGACTGTGTTCTTGGTGGCACTCACCTTGGCAAAGCAAACCACCCAGACAAGGTCTGCCTCTTTGGATAAGTCAGCTTGCAAGTCCCCTTAAGTGTGATTCACAGAGGACACGAAGGAGGACTGGTTACCTACTTATAAAAATGGTTCTTTGAGTTGTCCTCTGTGAAGTCACACATCCCACCCGGCCTCTCCTCTGTCACTTCCATACTTGCAGCGGCAATTAACTTGAACTGAGAGGAGAGCTTCAGTGCCAAGGTATAGATAGAGGGTGCAGGGCCTACACTAACGTGTGTTTTGCTCACTATAGAAGCTCTCTAGAAGGTTCTGATGAGGGTCCACACACATGTGGATTACCCTAAGTGTGACCTCACAGAGGACCGCTAGAAGAACCACTGTTACGAGTAGATAACTGGTCCTTTTCAGTGCTGAGAAACGTTCTTTACTCTTATACAAGTCACCACTTTCACTTTGTCCCCTTCACATGGTATTTGCATGCAGGGTGCTTAGTCATGGTTCCCTGTGAATACAGGATCTACACAATTATAGCTCAGTGTGCTAAAGGATGGGGCTAGCAGGTGCAGGCTGAAAGGCCCCCATGACACCCTACATGTAAGGCGTGTGTGGATGAAGTGGGAGAGGGGTGAGGTACCACCACGGGCTTATTCCTGCTTCTCCATATAAGTGTTTTATGTGCAAAGCATGATGAGAATCTAAACCTAGTAGTAAATCTAGTATTTGAAGATGATTTCCCTTCATGATAATCAGAAGGCTATCTTATCTACCCCACCCATCATGTTAAAATGTGCTAGCCTGTGGACACTGACCAGTGTGGTGTGACTGTGCTCTGAAAGGAATGAAAATGGAAATATAGTGTCTGCTGAAATTTGGAAGAATTGAGGGTCCTTGGGCAGAGCCTTCCAGGGATCCCAAGACAGCCCATGTTCTTCTTGCTTCGGTGCCTTCCAACATCTTAGATTTTAGTAGTGTGAGGAAGAAAAAACAACAGGCAAAATGAACACATAGTGTCCAATTTTAAATAGATTTGACCAGTGGATTTTTAGAGTTGCCGCACGTATCCATCCATCCATTTCCTTGCCAAGCTTTCTTTCTTTGCCCTTTGAGTATCTGACTCAGCCCTTCCTGGTTGCATTTTCCCAGGGTCCGAGCAGTGATTGCCAGGTGCCATTTGTTGGCCTGTCCCCACGGCCTGAGCAGGAGGTAATCCCGGATGGCTTCCAGGTAGGATGTGAGCTTCTCAAGTAACAGTCACATTTCTTGGCATTCTTCCTTGTAGGACAAAATGTGCTGATCCTACATAAATAGCATTTTTTTCCTGTAAGACAAGCATCTGGCCATCTCCCCCTTCCCCCACTTCTAACTCTTTTGCAACAAAGGAACTGTAATTGCTTTTTGCTCTCTCATAGAATAGGGTTTAGTCTTCTTTTTTGGACTACCGCTCCCAGAATCCCCCCAATAGCATGGCCACTAGAAGTTATAGTTCAAAAAAGGTAATGTTGTAGCTCTGCTGTTGAAAAATGGGTATGCATAGCAACCAAGCGTGTGCATCTTTCCAATGTATAAATTTCATGCATTCGTTGTCTATACTTTAAAATCGGAGATTAGCAATAAAAGAGAATTGTAAAGTGTTTGAAAGATATTTAAAGAGCAGGACATTTAAACCAGTCCTGTAATTAGAAGGTGTAAATATTAGTCTTTTTTTAAAGATTTTTTTTAAAGTTTGCTCTTCTACATGGTAATCTGTGAACTCTCACAAATGAGCTTGTGCACCTCCATAGGGAGCTGTGCAGATCATTTCAGAACTGAGCAATTGGGTAGAAACAACACCCTCGCCTTCCTACTGTGCATGCTACTGCGTGTTAATGCTACTAATTCCCTCAGTTCCTTTTTTGTCCACTACAGAACCACCTTGTAGGAATGCTCTGTAGAACTGATCTCTGATGGATTGACTTATCATTTTTTCTTTGAATTTCTTTCGATTTCTTTAATTTTGTTAATCCAGCACTGTTATTGTTTTCTGAAGTTGTCCATTGTTGGGTTTTGCCTGTCCCCTCTTCAAAAAATATAAGGACTGCAAATTTGTGGGCCCCCCAGGGCCAGTTTTGCTGATGTTTTTTGTTTAGGAGATTCTTGCCTTTCCTAGCCCTGTACCACCTGCAGAGGCTTCATTAAAGAAACCTTCAAACACCAGCAAACCAAACTTACACTGTTCCTTGGGGGAAAGTCTTTAAAAGCAACTAAAAATCAACTGAGCACATGTTTTTCCACTGCCTGCATTATGCAGTAGCACAAAATCAAATTATTACCCCATTGATTGAAAACATCCGTGGCCCATCAGAGAAAACTAGACTTGAATATCTCCTCTCGGACAGAGATAGGAAGATATCATACAAAGTAGTTGGCATCTGTCTGGTGATGCTCAAGTTTCAGAAATTTCCCCATACTTGACTCTGGCATTGATATGGAGGGTTTTGAATCACTTGTATACTTGTCTGTTTTATGTCTATGTTTGATGTTTTTACGTATTGCAGAGACTGTGTGGATCTGGGTTGCCCACTTCTCTGTATGATAGGGTTAAGGGCTATATAAAGAATTGATTATGAGGTGGCTTGTAAGGAAATCGTCATGCCACTGATCAAAGAAATAAATAGACCTGAGTTTTTTGATATAGACTCCACTTATCAAATAGCCAGTTTTTGTATGGCAATATTCAGGTCTCAGAAATTCCATGGTAACTAGATATTAGATTTTAAACTGTGTTTTAAATGCCAAATGTTTCTTTACAAAATACCTGAAATTTTGAAATCTTACGATAGCTAGATACTAGATTCTAAATGGTCTTTTAATGAAAAATGTTTTTACAAGGTATCTGGAATTTTGGAAACTGTAAATGTCTATGTTTTCCCCCCGTGTGATTGGTCTAAGGACCATAACAATAAACTGTAGTACTACGGCTGTGCTCATAAGGTTTGCGTAATTTGTTATAGCAAATTGTGGCTAATTGGTAAGATGATGGGACACATCTTGGTTATGCAGTTGGCAGGCAAGCAACCCTGGCACGTTGTTAGTGAGCTTCAAGTAGTCCTGTCAAGTTACACAAACCTTATGCAAACATTGTTAATTTTCTGGCTGACGTGTAAATCATACCAGGTACAGTACAACAATAAGTTTAATGTGGTTAGTTCTGCAGCAGAGGCTGGGGGGAGAGATACATTTATAGCTGCAACTCTGAACAAAAGAGTTCATCTGATGAAGTTAACAGTGTTATTACTGTCCTGAGCCCAGTTATGTGTCTTCCTCATCTCTTAATCTCCAGCTCCCCTTTGTGCAATTGAACAGGGACATGCAGTTTATCATAGCCATATGCAGGAAACATGTTTCAGATGCACAAACTTCAAATCCTGGTATCTCTGGGTCATTAATACTCAGCTAGGTGGATCAATGGCCTGATTTGATACAAGGAAGCTTCCTGTGTCCAAATACCATGGCCTTGCGAGATCTTAGCTTGACAGACTCCTGTGCCTTTAGTAGCAATGTGAGTTCGACAATTTTGTGAAATATATGCAAATAAAATGACAGACTCCTGTGCCTTTAGTAGCAATGTAAGTGCGACAATTTCGTCAAATATATGCAAATAAACTTACAGTATTACCATTCTGCTACAGGGAACTCCAGTCCTTTCTCTGTCAGAGCTACCCAAAGCTGTTCTCCCAAATGGCCTCTCCACACCACCTCTTCCCTCATCCGAGGCTTCTGGTACCCGTCTTTCTCCTCCCAACGTGTCTGCACTACTGGACATTTCTCTTCCGGGACCTCCTGAGGATGTTTTGTCTCAGGGAGAGCCTGCTACTCAAATCAGTGACTCTATCATTGAGATAGCTATCAGTTCTGGACAGTATGGTAAGAGGCAACGCTGTCTGCTAAAATATTGCCACAGCTCTTGTGTAGTAACTTTGCTAATATATGAACCATTGTGAATCTATGTCCCCTTGGAACAGAGGTGGGAGTATTTAGCTCTCCAAAATGCTGATGGATTGCTGTTTCCGTCATACTTTTCCATTAGCCAGGCTGGCTGAGAGAATTGGGCTTTGACCTTTGCAAGGTCACAGGTTCTCCAACCCCCTGTATGCACCACTGATTCCGGGCGGAGGAAATCTTTATTTATCATTATTTTAGAATCTAACCCCCACGTTTTCCTTTGAAAAAGGAGATGCTGCTCAAAGTAGCTTACATTAAAACGAAAAACAATATCCCGTGAAGAAGAAACAGATATAACAAACTAAATGCAACAGCAAGAGCAAAATTCATGGAGAGCCAACATTTACAGTAAATTGAATTAAATTCCAAGAGAACCAGATACTTTTTAAAGGAGAAGTGTCTTTAGTTATTGATGGACTACAGACAAAAAGGAGAATAAACTAGCTTTTTGGGAGCGGGAATGTCAGACTGACTCTTTCTTAACTGTTTGGAATTAACTGCTATCTGCAGATATTTAATACCTTGAGAGAATTCCATTTTGATGTTTTTTGTGATAGACAATCTTATATTTTTTAAAAATTTATAGGCGAAGCCATCCTATATTGTGGAAGGCACTGTTTAGCCTTCTGAGTATGAAATTATGTGAGAATCCAATAATTTAATGGAGTGTGTTTCAGTCTCCATGTAGCTCTACCTGAAGTTTTTGCATAAAATATTCTACATGCAAAGATATTCTAAAATGGCAGTACAGGCATTTCCAATTCATGTTTGTTTGTTTGTTATTACTTTAATTTATATACCATCCCATTCATGCCGAAGCAGTATTCTGGGAGGTTTACAACCTGTTAAAACAAACTACAGTACACAAAGCAATAAATAATAAATTACTAGACAAGTAATAGAAGCCTATTCTAAAAAACTTAATATCCAATGGCACTAAACCAATTTTCAGACTGAAGCAAAACAGGAGTACTCATATGTAGGACTGGGCAGCCTCACTCACTGAACAGTTTAACTAGAAGTTGATGGAACTGTGCTTATTTTGCAGTGCTTACTATTGTCCCTAGTTTTAGCAGTACTATTGTCCCTATTACTTAGCAGTGCTTACTATTGTCCCTAATTAAAACTGGAGTTTGACAGATCCCATCAGAAGTTTTAGAGGTGCCATAATAAGAGAAACTGGGTAGGTAGGTAGGTAGGTAGATAAGTAGGTGATTGGCTGAATATCCTTCTGGTTCATCAGGTCTGATTCGAAGGCAGTGAAACAGTTCTCTTAGTCAGTCACATGAAATCTTTGCATCTAGTTAGGAAGGAAATAGTTTCTTCCTTAGCATGCGCCAACTCCTCCTCAAAGTTGCAAGTCTTGGCTCTTTGTTACGTGAATTATTATTTATTCTGTATCGTTTCTTTTTGCAGGAGAAAATGTTTCTCTGTCCCCAGCGAAGCTGAATGGCAACGAGAACTCCAAAAGTCTTCCATCCCCCTCTTGCAGCCCTCAGCAAAATTGGATTGCTTCTCCCAGCCATGACCCACAGTGGTACCCCAACGATTCCACAGATTCATCGCTCAGCAGCTTATTTTGTGAGTGGTATTTGGAGTTAGGAAAAATTGCTTGGCTTTCCTGGGCTTATATGTCATTCCTCTTTCTCCAGAAGCTGGACTTTAACCCTTTTCCAAACTAACATTGGGACTGTGTTTCAATAACGAGTGGGCTAGCTAATTTCAGGGATTGTAAAAGGAAGTACTGGGTTAAACATTGCAACCCTCCTGTTTTTGCATCAGGTTTAGAACGCTTGAAATTGATTTTAAAATTGTTACATACTCAACACACAGCTAATTGCCCATTTTTTTGGTCAGAAGCTGAGTTTTTTATAAAAACAACCACCTACCCACCCATGAGTGGTTATTTGTTTGGAGTTGATTCCAATAATTTTTTAAAATCATTTTGGCATATGTGCTTATCTGTGTTGAAGTAAATTGTGTCTGTGAGGATTGTCCTACAGTATCCTGAAGTCCAAACTGAGATAGATAGATAGATAGAGGGAGGCAGGGATGCAAGGACGCACGCACATCCAGAGTAGAGAGAGAGAGAGGGAGGGAGGCAGGGAGGCAGGGATGCAAAGACGCACGCACATCCAGAGTAGTCGAATAGACCAGATGGGTGGGATATAAATCAAGTAAATAAACACACACACACGTAACATTGATTTAGTGCTATGCTACTTTGAAATACAATTTTAAAAATAAATATTAAAAATAAGTAAAATTAACAAAAGGTTTACTTGTAACATTGATAGACAAGGAGAAAAAAAAAGCAAAAGAAAATAGCTTTTTAGCATGACCTAGAAAATTTGGAAGCTGGAACACTTTTAAGTGCCAGTTTGCTTAAAAACTCAATGATTTTAAAGCTCTCTTGACTAATACACGACACATCTTAGAACTGGAACAAAGATTGTCCCAAGAGGATGCAGACATCAATACAAAAACCACATGACTTTAAGCCGATTTTACTAACCCCAGTTCTGTTACTGATTCATCTCAACACTGAAGCTGCACCCTAAGACAGCTTTCCTGCTGTTGGGAGCCAGATATCTACCCGCAGATTCCCAGAGAATTGCAAGTCAGAGTGAAAGAGTTGAATGCTTGTATGGAGAAAAAAAAAGAATTTGGGGAGTAACTGAAAACCTATAAATGAGTAAATGGCACAGAGGGAAACGGCACCTAGATGTGAGCCATGTATTTTTGTTCTTTTAAAAAAAGCTTTTCTTCCTCTCAGAGCCTATGGAGGCTCCTCTAGGAGCCTGAGTGCTGCATGGAGATTATGTGTAAGGTTAATACGTCTGTATGTGTCAGAAGGCTGAGAGGTCACTTACACTAACCTTCAGAAACATAATACTTCAAATACTGATTTCCTTGAACATTTTGTTTTGCAGCAAGCTTCCTTTCCCCAGAAAAGGGCCGGAAAACGTTACAAACCTCCACAGGGAACACAAGCAGCACTACGTTATTAGGACCTAGCCTCCTGGATGGAAATTCACGAGATTCCTTTGTGTCTCGTTCCCTGGCCGACGTAGCTGAGGTATGCCCATGCTCTATCCATGCAATGATGTGCTGTCACTCGTTGGGGAAGTAGAGGCTTATAGTCTTGTGATGATTAGTTGAAAAATGATGTTTCCGGACAGTCAGTCATAATATGCAATATCTGCATTTTAACTCTTGAAATCTAAATCCCACAAAATCTGATACAAAGTCCTTTCCTCAGTGTCTGCTCTGTGAATGCTAGAAGAGACCACTTTTCCAAACAGCAAAATATTGCTGTTTCAAGTGCTGAATAAATACAATATTCCTTCAGTAGAAGTCCTTATAGAATGATAGATCTGTGCTCTCGCATAACAGATGAATAGTCATTCTGTCCTTTGGTGTACGGGGAATATCTTCGAAGGAAAATCTACCTTCATGTTACGAGATCCATATGTGGGATTAGGGATCCGTGAAGTGCAGTTAATTCCTTTCTTTAGCTGCTGTGTTGTGTATGGGAGCGATGAATGGCCATGGTTTTTCACTCTGTGACTCAAAATCGTAATTTTTTTACTGCAGTGCTATTGAAGTAGCCCTCTGCTAGTCAAAAATAATCTCATTCTCTTAACATTTTAACTTGTTTTCATTATACCTATATTTCATATACAAAGTATTGAAGGCTGAGACTCAGATTTATCAGGAAAGAAGAAGAAAATGAAAGTTTAAAAATGCTAGGATTAGGAAGTGGGAAACCACGAGTTATGTAGAGCTGTCCTTAAGCTAAAAATCTAGAACTGGGAAAACTGGCTGGCTGTAAAAAGAGTAAGGAAAAATTATGATTGGGGAGGTGTTGAATTTCACAGAAGAACTAACTTTGTAAAAGCTGAAATGCACAAAAACAAAACCATTACATTCCGTAGGTCTGGACCTATTCTGTTTACCAGATCCATATGTCTTGTCATCATTACCCCAAGCCCCCAAAATAGGAACTCAGCAACGATCTGAATTGTGTCTCTTAAGTTTGGAAAGGAAGCTTGCAAGCAAGAAAATGCCTATATTCTTGCAAGCAAGAAAACGCCTATTGATATTTTTATTAAACATTTAAAACATTCTTAGAGTTGAGTTTTCGTGTACAAGCTAAGCCCTTCTGCCTGCCTGTGCCCCTCCCTCCAGGGACGAGGAACTGGTTGAGGATAATAGGCCACCACCTCTGCCTCATTGTCTTCCATAGACTGGATGATGCAAGGGAGTGTGGCACTAGGCCTCAGTTTGCTCTCAGAGCGCTGCCTGACACGTGAAGGAGAGAAGTGAGTCTCAGTGGCCCTCTCTGGCTTTGTCCTCCCTCCTTCCTTCCCTGCCTTCCTCAGTGGGATGCCAATGGAGTAGGACCCTTCTCTCTGCAGATTTTGGATCCTGACACGCCAGGTTCGGCCTCCTGCCTAGAGTCCCTCCCTTGCCCTATTGTTTATCTTGTCAAGTATTTTAAAAAAAAACCTAATTTAAACAAAATCAACACTTTGCAATCCATAACTTATGGAGAATTGCACTCGGCATAGAAAGTGTAATTGGTTTTGATTTGTTGTCTAGGTTTCTTTCTTTTTCAGACATCCTAGGTTACTAACGTTTATTGGTTCTCTTTATTTATGTTCTTGTGGGTGGGATTGGATAGTTGTGTTTTAACTTTTGTTAGCCATCCAGAATAGTGCTTAGACACTAGAGAGGCAGGATATAAACAGACAGACAGACAGACAAATAATGTGAGCAACTGGATTTAAACCTCTCCGTATCAATGTGTGCATCTAATAGTAACATATATTTCATTACGTAGTAGTAATTATGTGTATATCAAGCCAAAGCTGATGCCAGCAATGGGTTGACTAATAATAAAAGTCTGTGTTTTCTTCTCCCTGGTTGTAGGTGGTAGATTCCCAACTGGCTTGCATGATGAATGAGAACAGCATAGATTACATATCTCGTTTCAACGACCTTGCCCAGGAGTTGTCGATACCTGAGCCACCCCGCCGAGAAATCCTCTTTGATGGAGGAAGTGGTGGTCCTCCCATTGGTGATCTCACTCAGTAAATGCGTTCAACCAGCTGGCTGGTGGAAACCACTGAACTGGCTGTAACTTGCAGAGGAGTAACGTCATAGCTATGCAGCTGATTCTGTTCGTTCATTCTTTCTTTTCTTTCTTTCTTTCTTAGCTAGAGCATGCCTCACAAGATCAGTGTTTGTCTTCAACTGTCTACAGCTCCTGGAGTGTGCAGCACACTAGGAAGCAGTAACTGGGAGCAGTGTTATAGGAAGTGACATATGTAAGCTGCTGACAAGTAGAATTTACAAAATAGTCCTGGATTTTTTTTCTCTGGAACAATCTGGGCAAGAAATCCCACAAGCTACATTTTTATACAGTAAATCAAGTCCTTTGCTGTGATATCTTTTTTTTAAGCTAAAGGGGGAGTGGTAGATATATATTCTTGATTTTTATTCCTTTTAAAATCTAATTTTAATTTATTTGGGGGTGTTTTTTTGGTCTCTCACAATTTTCATTGCTGAAAAATCAGTATATTTAATATTCCTTGCACTTTGCTGTCAAGCAGCCATTAATTCCAAAGAGCGCTTTTACCAGATTCCTACCCCACTCACCCATTTGCTCACATTCATTAACATTCCAGCATGATAGGAAAGCCGCTATAGTTCCATACATACACTTTTAAAAAACAAACAGAGGTAGGGCCCCTCTCATCTTAGCCAGCATAATTTTGACTTAAATTTGCATGCTTTTTTTCCTCTTAACCCAAGAAAACTCTCTCTCTCTTTTTCCCCCACCCCCAAAGACCAACCTGTCTTTCAAGCAATTTTATGTTCCATTTTCCTCTTATGGAGTAGAAACTTTGTTGAAAGGGCTGGAGTTATACTTCAAATTAAATGCTTTCTTGTATTTTTCTCTTTCTTTTTGAATGGCCATCACATAATCTTAAGAGTCCTCCAGAGAATAAAACCTGTTACATTAGTAGAGAAGTAACGCTTTGATCATGCCCTACAAATGCAAGGAATTTAGGATAAAATATGTTTCATCTACGTTTCTCTACATCCATAGTGAATTGCATCAGAGTATGTCTGAGTCTTTATTCAGTGCCTCAAGTCCGACCTTACTTTTGTAATGCTGCATTTCTATTTCCTTGTGAAACAGAAGATTCTGCCTCTGCCTATTTGCTCACCTACAAACATGGCTTCTGGCATAGCAGTTCCCACATTCTTTACATCCTGCAAGAAAGTCCATCTAAACTTCATTCCTTTATTCACTCGTTGGTAATAATAATGCTGTTTAGAACGTTGCTCTCGAAACATAGATTCTTCTCTGTGGTTGGCAGTGCATGGGAGCCTGGGGTAGTCTGTCTTTTCCTTCTTTCTGTACCCAGTTCTCTGTGGTTGGCAGTGCATGGGAGCCTAGGGTCTTTTCTTTCTTTCTGTACCCAAACATTGGGTTGGAAACGTGACTTCAGAGTTCTTCCTCATGAGGGCTGAATAATTTCACCAGAGGATTTATCTATGGCAAATGGACCAAATGTGTTTCCAATTGCTGGTGGCTCCTCTGATTCTGGGACCTGACCCTTCTCTGAGACTTTTCCTGGTTCACCCCATCTTCAAGGACAATCAAGCAGTCTCTTAATACCTCTTTGAACTCTGCCCTATTGCATAGCAAAAGTTTAAATACAAATTGCTTTCTTCTCCTGAATGGCCACGCCAGCCTGCACACCACTAGTACAGAACTAAGCTTTCTTAGCAGACTGTAGGATGTGTAAACTGAAATAACAGCAGGTGAGAATCATGCAGGCTTAATGATTTAAATTAAGGTGTGATTATAATTTTATCAGTCAACTTAACCTTCCTCTGGCATCACTGTTGCTTTGTCACAAATAATTTTTTTGCATATTGGCACTTCCCTGAGCACAGAAGATACGTGTTTTTCAGGCAATGAGGAATGCCTAGTTTCAGGTAAAGCACCTTCACAATAGAAGGAAATCAGATTTTCTTGTTAGACATTGGTGCTAACATGCAGTTATCAGTGTGGCCTATATACAGCAGTGCCAAAATATATATTTTTTTGTTCTACTTGTGTGCATTTTCCGGACTATTTCGGACCAATTTCTGATCACTGACTTCAGATATTTTTGCAGTTCTGACATCTCTTGAAGGCCTTTTTAACTAGGTTATTCAAATAAAGTGATTCTTGTAAATTATTCTAGGTGAGTAACAATAGCATGAAATGAAATCTTCATTTCAGTGGCTTAGCTATTTCACCTGTTTGGTTGTTTCGTTGAAGTCCCATATCCTTGTATTTCTGAAAGAATGGATTTTACAGCAAGCTTGTGAAGCTCTTTGTCTCCTTTGTGTCTGGATTTCTTGCTGTCCTAGTGGCTTAATGGGTCCTCTCTTATCGGGTAACAAGTTGCCCCTTCTGCCACCAACTTCCTCATTCTTTGAGAAGACAGAAAGTTGTAACAGTGCGTTTCTATCAAGTCATAAGATCAGCAGATTTTACTATTTTTTTTGTATAAAACAAAAGCATCAGGAAAATAGGCATGTGCATTTTCAACATAGTTTCTGTCGTACTCAAGTTTCCCGGCCAGAACCCTGTTGTGCAACTTCACATGCATAAAGGTTAATGATGTAATAAGCCACAGACTTCTAACCTTTAAATTAAATTTTTCTGTCTCCTCCTCTATCAAGTGCTGAGGAAGCCTAGGAATCTTTTTTGTCCTAGGGAAGGCTTTGAGATTTGGGGAAGCCTTGAATATCTGTAAATTGCTGCCATTGGTCTTGATCCCATTGCACAACAGGATGTTGGCCAATTATCAAATCCTCTTTGATAGAAATAATTATGCATGTAGGTTTTTAACTTCCTTGCAAGATCTCAAGAATCCTCTCTTTTCCATTTCCCCCCCCATTTTTAACATCAGTGTCCACTGAAATTAATAACCTGTTCTTTGGCATTTATTTTGCATATTGGGTTGAAAGTACATAAACAATTAAGACTAGACACTTGGAACTAAAAGCCAGTAATAGTGTTCGCTTCAATCAGTGATCTGTTGCTCATACTTTCATGATATTAGTCATATGCACACTTTGGATTTTGCTGGTAATCAGGTTTATCTGGACATTAATGCATTTGAGAATCATAAAGTGATGGGAGTGCTACAAGGGTGCAGGAGTCACTCTTAAATTGCTGTTTCACCCCTTCTGACAATTTTGAATTTGTCACAAAGTCCATTTGAGAAACTTAAAAGCAACCTGCAGGTAGGGTTGCTTCTAAGCCAAACCTCTATCCTGCCTTATTTCACATTTGCCTGAAGCACTGAGAGAAAAAAGCTGCTGAGTGGTTACTTAGTTTTCATTCATACATTTGGTTCCTGAAAGACTCTTAATGCTCAGTATCCTTTCAGTATCACACGATTGGTTGATAAACATTACAAATTGGCCTACTTGAGAGCATTTATGCAATGGAGACCAAGGGCCCTCCGTTTCTACAGAAGACACTGGGCATCAGAAATGTGTTTATAGTTGTGTGTAAAGTTTCAAAGCAGAATGCAGATAGCAGATCAGCCAGCTTCTGTTGTCTTGTTTCTGCATTGCAGAGTCAACTCACTCTTCTAATTTATTTATTTTTTATCACTGGGATAGGATCCATCAGGAATTCCATCTACATGGAAAGCCGCCCAGAGACCTTTGGGAAGTGCGGGCAGCATAAAAGTTAAATAAATAAATAAATAAATAAATAGTAGCCCATGAAAGAAACAGGAATTGTGTGGAATGAAATTCCTGTGCATTGTTTCTAGCCCTATCCAAAATATCATTTTAAAAAAACATACATTTTTCTATGCTGGCATTGTATCCTCTTTTTTATTATCAGTCTTCTTCCGTACAACTTTAAGCCAGCTAAACCAATTTAAATTGAATCGTATCTACCAAGGTGTCTTGTCAAATTCTTTGTAGGGGTTTAATACTGCATTTTGGTTTGGGGTTTTTTAACCATGCCACGCACACATATACGCATAGGGATATCAAAGCATTTGTAAAGAAAACACTGCACTTTTGAGTTATCGAGCTCTTCTAAAACTCTTCTCTTGACATTATGGTAATCTACAAGTGCTGAATAAGCGAAAACATTTACAAGCACTACAGCAGTGAGTTATCATTAGTTGCCAAAATGTGATAACTGACTATAGAGCTTGTAGGTTTGACAGCAGACTTTATTGCTGTTTTTTAAATAATAGTTAAGCCATATCATCTAAAAGGTTTTTTGTCTTGTTTGGAGATGTGGATTTGTTTTTATAGATAATAAAATATACATATATAGTGTATGTATAAAGCAAGAATGCCTGTCCTTAACTGATTATTTTTTGTATTATATTGTAAATTATATTATTTATTCTTTACCAGTTTTTGGAAAAAGAAAAGGTGTTTGGGTTATTTAATGTAATATACAAAAGCTGTTAACTTCCTCTGTTTTCAACAATTTCCAATTCAACTTGTAAAGTTGTTTTTATGATTGTGCATAAATATATACTAATCCTTGGATTAATTCATTTGTCTGGTGTTTTGTTCTCTACAGTTCAGAGGCAGGCAACAGTTTTAGAGAGAGAGAGGTGGATTGCACCCCACCAGGCATTCCATGGGCTGGACAAAGTTACACACTGTGGCATTTTCACAGAACCACATTCACCTACGCCACATCCTTCCTTGTCAGGGTGTGCGTGGGGCAATAAAGTGCCCCACACCCAAGGCTGGCTACAGCATTGTTTTGCTGCACCCTGGCTTCCTCCTGGCATCAAGGTGTGTGCATTGAGGGCAAGAACATGGCCCAGAGAGAGACCCCTAACCGTGTTTCTTGGCAGGCCAGAAGAGGAAGCAGTTTGCTTCCCTGCTGAATTCTCTCTTCCCTTCTCTGAGCAGTGAGAAGTTATAGAGATGCAACGCTTAACCCCATTTTAGTTTCCTTTAGAAAGACGTTACTAGTGTTTTGAGTTTATGAATACAGTACAGAGACTGAGCATAGGGCACAGTTTAAATAACTTACTTAGTGTATACATTCCTGCATCTATGCATCTGTTTCCTGGCAACCTCAATATATATATTTGTAAACACGTATTTTGTTTATTTCATTTCTGTTCTATTTTTATTCCAGTGTTAAGAACTCGAGACAACTCACAAATGATTAAAAAAAACAGATACAAACAAAATTGCATTAAGTTGTAACATTGAACAATAAAACATACAGGCCAAATGATGTGACAATGATGTATTGTCACACCATTATCTTGAATATTTGCAATGAAACTTAATTTATTAGCCTCTTTTTAATGTTTTTCTTATAAAAATACAATATCTGCCTTATCCTTATTAATCATTTTAATTCTTTGCTTCATGACATTCCCCAGAACTTTAATGTAGTTAAAGTTAACATAGATAATAGTTTCAATAGTTTTAATCATACCAGTTCATTTTTTTTGGTTTGGGTTGGAACAATACAAAAACATAGAGAAGAAAAGTCAAATCTGATACAATCCCACAAAAAAATGCAGAAGGGTCAGCTTTTCCTCCCAAAGGAGGGCATTCCACAGCCTGGGACCAACTTACATCGTCACTGGACATGCCTGTGGCAAACGGTGGGGCCCAAAGAAGGGACTCTCCTCTAAAAGCTGGGGAGGCTGGTGTGGGATGATGTGTTCATTCACATTGGGCTTATAAATGGTATTTTCATTTGGTCCTGGAAATGAACCAGCAGCCAGAGGAGCTCTAAATGGGAGTTACATTACAGTAACCAGCCCCAGCCGACAGTCTGACACTTTAGAACACTTGAAAAATCTCAGCACTTCGCATGCAGAGTACAATAATCTAAGCAGCATATATTTGAGGCATGTATCACTGTAGCTACAGTAGATCATACCTCCAGGAACTAACACATCTAGTGCACTATCTTTAACAGTCCAAATGGCCACTGCTGAAACATGCATGTTCATAGTGGACACTGAATCCAGGAATACAATCAAATTGTGAACCTTAGGGTTTACTTTTTAGGGGAGTAGTGACCGAATCCAGAATATTTCCTGATCTTCCTTTTTAATAGCCAAGACATCATCTCCTGTCTGGATTAAGCTCCGGTTTGTTCAATTTTATCTGTTTTAGAACTTAAAACAGCTTAGTTGGACTTCAGTGGAAACAACAGAACATTGAATGTCACAAGCATACTGCTACCACCATAGCTCGGCACTCCAGACATCCTCTTCCGGGAGTTTCAAAGATACAGTATATGAAATACCATAGGGACAAAACTAAACGTTGAGGGGACTCCACAGGCCTATGAACAAGATTATTAGAGTCCCTCAACTACCTTCTGAGCTCGACCATCAGCAAAGACTGAAGCCATTGCAGGGACAAAACTAAACGTTGAGGGGACTCTACAGGCCTATGAACAAGGTTATTAGAGTCCCTCAACTACCTTCTGAGCTCGACCATCAGCAAAGACTGAAGCCATTGCAAAACACTGTAAATCCCACCCAAGAGCAGTGACTCGGAAGGATGTCACGATTAATCCCGTAACAGGCCGTTTTTGTACTACCTTCTGAGCTTGCCCATCAGCAAAGACTGAAGCCATTATAAAACACTGTAAATCCCACCCAAGAGCAGTGACTCGGAAGGATGTCACAGTCACTGGTATTGAAACCACCAAGAAAGTCCAACAGAATCAATCACGGTGAGACTTTTCCCATCTCCAGTTTCCAACATAAGTTGTTCAATAAGATAATTAAAACTGTATCCATCCCATTAACAATGTTACTATAGAAGGCATTGGATGGCACTCAGTTGTCACTTAATCTCCGTAGAATCTCTTACCGCCTGGAGGTAATGGTGCACTTATGAAATTGTAGACAACTAAATGAAAATGGTCTTCTGGGTGTCTCTCTTCAGATGGACTGTATCCATCCCATTAACAATGTTACTACTGTATAGAAGGCATTGGATAGCACTCAGTTGTCACTTATTCTCCGTAGAATCTCTTACCGCCTGGAGGTAATGGTGCACTTAATAAAAGATATCATCACCGCGGGGAGGGGGGCGATGATAACTTCCTCAATGGCTCAAGGGGGCGTTTCTTTCAAAAAGGTTAAGAACCACTGACTTACACTACCGTACCGACTTCAAATTTTGATGCCACTACTCTTCTGCGCATCAGGAACTTCTTGCATGAAATTGTAGACAACTAAATGAAAATGGACTTCTGAGTGTCTCTCTTCAGAGACTACTGTACCAACTTCAAATTTTGATACCGTTACTCTTCTGTGCATCAGTAACTTGTTCAGTTCTCCAACTGCAGACCTGGACTCCTGCCTGTGTACAGTATATAACTGTTTGTTCTCAGTTGTTCACAAGAGTACATTAGTTTCTAGCCATGTTAAGACAAAAGAAACAACATATAAAGTCAGAAAGCAGGACTCTGATATAAATTCACAATGTTTTTTTCCTTCATAGCAAATAGTTTTATCTCATAACAAATGCACAAATAAATCTACGTAAGTAGATTTTAAAAAAGTGTACAGGGGGGTTAATAACTCATGATAAATGGACTAAGTCTCCAGTCTTGTGTGATGGGAAGGAAAAATGCCCTTTTAACCCCAGTTTACAAAGTCTATTAATCATGGATGCCAGGTTTTGTAAAACTGTACTGAGTGGTGATGGATGTTGTAGTTAAACATTTGGTAAATCACCAGTCTTCCTCCCCCTTTAAGAGGTACTCCAGATTCTGGATTATTTTTGCTCACTCTTTCTGGACAGCTGAAGTTCTACATCCACATTTTGAATCTTGAATTGTTTCACCTTACTGCTACTTTTAATGCAATTGTATTTGCTCTAGTTGCACGAATTACTGTTCTAACAATTGTTCCTTTTTTTTAAAGAAACATAAGTCCTTAGACTAATTTTGAACGAAAAGTGGGTAAAAAATGCACAAACATATCAGTGTCCCAGTATAGTTTGTTAACCTTTTAAAGATGGGTCGTCAGTCCTTTTTAAAGCTTAACTCATCACTTTTTGGCGAACAAGCTTATTTCACAAATAACCATATCCTCCCAGTGAATCTGTTTATAGATTACCCTCAGTATTAAAATCACACAGAAAGCCAGGCAAACTCGCTCGCTGTCCTTGTTAAACCTTAAAAGACAATAGTCTGGCCCGCCCACCTGCCCGCTTTTCCGTGTAATCCAATGAACACCGAGGTATTTTGGAATGACGAGAGGCTTATCCAATAGACTGCAAGCCCCACCCTCACCAAGCTCTTTCTCTCTCCCTTTTTTTCTCTCTCTCACGCCCACGACGCCTTCCCGCCTCTTTCTGGATGGGCGGGTCACTCAGTAGCCATTCATTGGTTGAAGGCTGAATGAGCGGCGTCTCCACTGACCAGTCAGGTTCCTCCAACGGCTCCGGCGCCCGGCCTGAGGTAATCAACGGTGGGGAGCCAGAGAAGCGCTCCGAGCTGAGGAGAATTGGTTCGTGGCGTTTTCTGGGTCGTCGTCTCGCCGCCGCCGCCGCCGTCATGTTGCAGGGCCCGGAGACCGAGACGGCGAAGCCGAGCTCCAGGTAACTTGTGTGGCGCAGCCTCCTCGGTGGCGACGGTTGGGGGGCGGGGAAGAGGCGAGGAAGCGACCTCGGACGCTTGTGTGGCGCAGCCTCCTCGGCGGCGGCGACGGTTGGGGGGGGAGGGGCGGGGAAGAGGCGAGGCGCCGACCTCGGACGGCTGGGTCCTTCGCCCGACTTCCCGCCCTTAGGCTTGACGGAGAGCCCCCTCAGGGCCGGGCCGCGACGAGGAGCGGGGAAAGGGGACGGGATGAGAGGCGTCGGAGCTGAGGAGGGTGGGCCGGCGGCCGGGTGGGGTTGTGAAAGCTCCCGCAGCGAAAGGGCTGGGGGTTCCGATCAGGGCTGGGGAGGGTGAATCGGGCGTCACTCCGGTTTCACCCGCGAAGGCGAAGGGCCGGTGAAGGCCGTGGGTCTGCTGGCCCCGGAGGCGAGCCATCGCCCTGGACACGCTTGCAGAGGAGGGAGGAAAGCCAGCAGGATTGAGGGGGGGCTCTCTCTCCCTCTCTTTCTCCTTTATTTATTTCAAGGGGCGGAACAAAAAAAAGGGTGTGCTGTCTTCCCCTCCCCCTTCCTGCCCTAGTTAAGCAAGAAATAGTCATCATAGAATCATGAACTTGGAAATTAATGGGGTCGGATATATACATATTGTCGAGTGCTGGTCGAGGAGAGTAGCCCTGTTGTTTTAGACATGGTCTATTGGGGCGGGGTATAAATTTAATAAATAAAAAAAAAATTATGGCAGAAGTTCTCCTCACGGAAGCACAAGACGGGCATGTCAAAGACCCTGTGAAACACACACACACACACACCCCGGGCTGACTTTCTTGTCAGGGTCTCTGTTTTGATGCCATGTATAAAGATTTGCCATGTTTTATCTCTTTCTCTCCTGTTTGAGGAAAGGTCGCATTTAAAAAATAAGGTGCCACCACGTTTTTTTGTCTCCTTTGCTATTTTTTAATTGTGTTTTTACCTGTAATTATTTATGAGTATGTCTAGACTGAGTAGATCTGAGGAGGGTATAAAAGCAATGTAAAATGAAGCATACAAGAAGCACAAAATACATATTTTTTTTTAAAAAAAGTGCTAGGATGGAATCCATGGGGCTGAAGGGGTTCCCTGCCCTGCCACCTGTAGAGTTGTCGGCAGGTTGCTTGTTCCACCAGAACAGCAGCAAAAGGATGGATGATGCCTCTGTAGAATGCCTTATAACTAGAAAACTCCTGGGGGGTTGCTATAAATTGGGATCACATTATTGACTTATTATTATTACTATGAAGTATACATACTGTACAAGTAGGGTGGACTACATAAGCCTGCAAAACAGATACATTTTAACATGTATCAAAATTACAAAACATACATTTTTAACATGTATCAAAATTACAAAACAGATACATTTTAACATGTATCAAAATTGACGTAATAACTGGAACATGTTGAACCTCTGAGGGAAAAGGTATTGTGGACATTTAGTGCCACTGTGTTACTTTTGCACAGTACTTTCATACAAGAAGGAAAGTGGCAAAAATGCACACGCACCGAAATAGACCAAGAGCACTTAATCTGCTTTGCAGAATACGTTTCCTAGTAGGATGGATTTGATTTCAATCAAGTTGATTTCAGTCATGATTTAAATAATAAGACTCAATGTAAAATCATGATTTTGAAATGTAAAGACTCGTTTTTGCTGGTGGTTCTAATCTTTAACATTTGCAGCCAGATGAGGATTTAATATTTAACCTGTCAGATTATTAAAACAACTGTATCAGAACTGATTTTAGTTTAATATGTTAATCACTCATATTTGGAGAAATCCCCAGTAGGTGGTAGAGACAAAGACTGTTTTTTGTACTACAGCACTCTCGGCCAAGAATCCAGATAGCTGTTTGAAAGGATTTTTTTAATAAAAAAGGGGGGAACCCCAATTTAAAAGGACAAGATGGTGAAAGTTCCAAATGGTTACAAAAAAGGAGGTTTCAAAATACAGGAGCAAATGAAGAGATAGAGTTAAAACACATGCAAGAGAAACACACCAGAAAATATACAAGCTAATTACCCTACCTGATACTCACACCTTGGCAGAGAGATAGCAACTAAATTCCATATTTTATATTCCCCAAGTTCTCAGTTTCTCCACATCTACTTACAAATATTTTCTTCAACGGAAACCTTGCACTGTTTGCCTGTGTGCATAACGTTGTACACGATATGCTTCAGGTGATCTCAGTCTGGAATTATGATGCACCTACTGTACTTCTGATTTCTTTAATGGCTTTGGAACTATTGACATGGAGATGTTCTTGCAATCTGGGGTAGAAATCTGTCATAGGTGGCTTCTGTTTCAGATCTTGTACCCAGAGTACTGCCAATTCCTAGTGCAGTTGCCAAATCAAAGTCAAGAGTGCTAATCAGGAAAAGAGTAGTACGGTAGCTTTAATTATATGGTCTGTCAGCAGAATATATGGTCTATTCTAAAGATGGTGAAACAGCCTCCTTAGTATGGATTTAGTTGCTGAGCCAAACTTGAAGTCAGAGATACCAGCTGGCTACCTAGTATTTTGTTCTGTCATTGTAGTCCTGGGTTGAGTTTATCCTTTGGAAAGATGAATACTATTTTCACTGAACTTGGGGTGCAGTGTCTATGTGTTGTACACACATATGTATTCCATAGTTGTTGCTATTGGTTTTGTGTAGGTCACTATTATTTACTGCTGGCATTGGAAAAAGTGTGCAGTGTTTATACTCTCCGGAATGGGTGGATAGAACTGTGTTCTCTCTCTGTGTGTGTGTGTGTGTGTGACTCGCTCCAAAAAAAAGGATGAGCAGGCTTCAGAGATGGCCAGTGGTGACACTCTTTAGTGATAAATATGTTGAATAAAATTTGATTTTTTTTAACAAAGGTTGATTCCTTCTCTGAGCCTTTCTCCGAGAGCTGAATAATTCACATCTTGTACTTCAGACAATTTCTTTGTTGTAGGAAGTGGACCAGATGCTGGCTGTTAAAGGGCATCAGACCATGCTGTTGTCATCACTTTTCATGAAGGCTCAGCCTAGCAGGCTTTGTCTTCAAAATAGGTGTTGGCTGGTGGAACCATGCTCTAGAATTTTGTTTTCTACCACAGATATCAAATCGCTGCTTTTAATTATCTAACTGCTGCTTTAAGCAATTAAGGTTTTTTTCTTCTTCTGAAGCAATAACCCAAGATAAAAAGCTGAAGGATGAAGGTTGTTGTTGTTTCTTCCTCTACATAAATTGCTAATATAGTTAAATGAATGCTATAGATTCTAGTAACAATAGCATTGATCAGGAAAAATTACATCAGATGAAACGTAATTCTGATTGCACTGTTACTATATTAGTGGTGGATTTAACTAAAGAATGGTCACTAAATATATGTTAGAGTTATTCACACAACCAATCTTTGCTTAGAGGAATTTTCAGTTTTGGCAACTGCTATAAAAATAAAGTCTAATGTGATGATTTGAATCTTAACTATTTCAAAACAGATTTTAATGACTTTATTTTACCTGGTTCTGGCTAAAATCCCATTGTAGTAAGTCGAGGACAGTGATATACTCCTGCAGCTCTGTGGAGGGTTGAAGTGTTGCATTTCTCCTCAATCCAGGACCCTAAAGGATCTTCCTGTTGGCTTTCTCAGATCACTTCTGCCATTCCTTCACCTCAGATATCCATTAGCTCTTCAGATTGGCCTCTCCTTCTGTCCAAGGCAGTGGGAGCTGGTTTGTCCTATTATTGGACCGTTTGTGTGCTCCATCAGGAAATGCTGGAACTGATTAAGGTGACATGATAACTGTCACCAACTCCATGTGCAAGGCTGTCTTGTCAAGACTGACAAGAGGTTCCTTTGGGTTTGTTGATAATAAATATACCACTGGAGGAAAAGGCAGAAAACTTTGGTAAAAGAGGCAAGAGATAATAAAGCAGAAAGCATACAGTAAATAGTGAAATGGTAAAGTAGAGACTGAAACTTCACATAACCTTTAGCATGTCAGGATCCCTAAAGAACCCCTGGAAGTCAGTTGTACACCATCCTCTGAAGTTAGTCTATGTTGACGCTCAAGATGATGACTATAACTGGTTCTTATCTACCTCTATAGGGCAGGTTCAATTAACCAATCTCTGTACAGTAAACCTCTTGCATGTTTAGATTTCCATAATTGGCAGTAAGGTAGCAGGGCATGTCACCAATGAGCAAACTGATAAAATCAGACATCAAAAGGCACAGACATCACATGCTAGCCTGTTTACTGGTTATGCCATGTCACTTCCAAAATTCTCACCCTGGAACATCTGGAGTGTACAGTCTGGAACTTTCTCAAGTGACCTACAGTTATTCAGCTGGATAAGACTGGTTTCTGCATCTCCAGGAATTCAAAACTTCCCCCAGGTAACCTCTAGTAACCTCTGCAGTCTTGTTAGTACCCAACAGCATCTTAAACATTAGCACAGGTGGGAATATTGATGCATGCCACATCAAAATTCTTGCCATACAAACATCTGCAGGGGGCACTGTTCTAGGTAACATTAGATTTAAACTTTGTACCTGCTTTTTCAAAAGCAAGTGCAGTCCTACTCAGAATAGATGCATATTCTTTTCCAAGCCATATTAAATAACCATGTTTCTATTTTGTCTAAATGGAATTTCATCTTCTTCATCTCAGTCTATTGCTTGAAGGGTCACCAAGCATCAACTAGTAATCTCTCCTGCCTCCCTGAATTCAAATGTTAGCAAAGGCAAATATAGTGGTTTATCATCAGTGGATTGGTAATTAGAGATGGGGATATCCATATTCGTATATGAACACAAATATCCCTGTCCCAGCTGGCCCTAATGACCATGGTCATGGTCCTGCTCATCCTGCCAATGGCACCTGGAGCTCCACTGTGTTCTTGCTTGGCTGGCCACTCCAGGCGGGGGCGGGAGCACAAGTTTCCCCACACAACTGCTGAGTTGTGCTGCCATTAGCAGGATAATCAGGGC